AGAGAGAGAGAGAGAGAGAGAGAGAGAGAGAGAGAGAGAGAGAGAGAGAGAGAGAGGAGGAGAAGGAGTCGTAGTGGCTCCGATGGGAGGCAATACACATACTTTGCCAGGGGTCTGACTTTTATGGGGGAAAGATACCGGGAACCTGCATACACAGGCTTTGTTGGGCTTACCGGTGGAACCACCACTTCTTTTAACAAAGAAGTGTGAAACGGCGAGGGAGGTTATTCTACGAGAAATTCGAGAATCAGGAAATTCAACACGGAAAACCAGCGAGTGTGCATACGCCATCGATAAAACAAAACCATGGGACCAGACAATCACAGAAGAACAGGACAAGAAGAGAACAGATACGTGAGCGACTTATCTTCTCTGACTAGACGTTGAAGCTCCATGCAATGCCTTACTTCAGGACCTCCCCCCAGCCCTGTCGAAGCAAGACAGCACGTGCATCTCGAGCTTTCAGTACTTTGTGGAAGCTAATATAAGGCTGTTACTCTAAAATTAATACTAAAAAAAAAAATATTAATAATGCTGTTAAGTTTGTAACCACTGCAACACACAATCGAGTTGTGGTGCTGTTAGCTGTGCGAAGAGCGCAGGAACTCAAGGAGGGAAAGAGAGTAAGCTCCGTCCTTGCTGTGTAGATGCACAGGTGTTTTGCAAAGCATGCGGTGAGCAGTTACGTTTATATATATTATAAGCACTGTGCAGTGTGCCCTCATCAACATTAAAAAAAAAAAAAAAAAAAAAAAAAAACCAACAACAACAACATATTTCTTGGTGGCCTTTGATCAAGAGTGAATCTGGTCGTCAGCCTCAGGGCGCCCATTGGTGCAATCGCCTGTCCGATCTGAGCATACAGATTGGAACGAAGAGAAAGGGTCTTGCTCCACTACACAACCCTCCTATATATGCATCTGAAGCTACCAATTGCCCCGATACATTCGAAAGTGTTGAACTCGACCGAATGCACGTGGTCCAGAAAGCGTCCAAATGCATGTAGAAAATGTTGAGTAGTGGAGCGAGGCCCCAAGTCACATCATGGTAACACCATAAACACCAACAGCCAGTGGCAGAATGCACATGGTCCAGAAAGCGTCCAAATGCGTGTAGAAAGTCAATAGCAGACGCAAGCAGGCACACATCAAGAGCGCTGGCGGATCGCTCCCGCGGAGACATTTTTCGTGCGTGTGGCTGGTAAGGGCACTTCATTTGAAGTTGAAGGCAGGAAAGGAGGCTTTAACCTGTGGCTGTAATACCCTGAAGGGCCTGAACTACGACACGATGTTAACCCTCCTCAAGAGCCAAACAGCTCCCCAGGCAGATGATTTTTCGTGCGTGTGGTGGGTGCTTGCCCGGAAATGACACTATCCTGGCTATAATAGCCTGGACTGGAATGAATCGACTATATCTTAATCCTCCTCAAGCTGGGAACTCCTGCAGTTCTGAATACAGAAACCTTTCTCCTCAAGTCCGTCCTCCCGACGCTGGTGAGTTCTGCAATCATCAAGACCGCCATGCTTAATGTTTCGTCTCATGCCACTTGAAAGAAAGGCGCAGCCTCGTGCGACAACCTGGACTGGAATTGCTCCCATTGATCACAGGCTTCCCCTTCCATTTACTTGCTTCGCTGATAAATTTTCGCCAGGAATGAATGGAACACGGTCTGCAAACGCACGCAGCAAGTCGCGAAGAAGAAAACAAAATTGGCGCAAGTTAGACAACGTTTCGACAACTACCACCATACCCAGCCACGTAGTGCGCACGTGGTAGCTGTTGGTAAGAACTTACGAAGTACTAAAAAACTTGGCAGGACCGGTTAACTGGCCGGAGAATCTGGCCGGATTATCGGGGGGACCCCTTGGGGATGCGTTCGGCCGTTCGGGCGGAACGCAGACCCAAAAAAAAAAAACAGAAAAAAAGATATGTTATGAAGAAAAATAAATTCAACAAGATTTGCCTGAGCATTACATCCAAATTCCTTACCAAATTTAAAAATACGAAGAACAAATACTAATAATAAAAATAACAAAAAATAAAAACTTAAAAAGAGAATTAGTGAGTGCACGAGCACGTTTTCGATACCGCAATCTTTGGCGATTTTTCATTTTTTTTGGGCGTAGCTAAATGCCCTGAAAATTTACAGACGTGTACTTCACATAATACAAAATCCACTAAAAAAGTTTCAAAAAATAAAATAGTTTAGAGAGAACTTTAGACCCCGAACTAAAGTGAAAACAAAAAGTAAAAAGTGAAAAAAACGTGGGCGAGCACGTTTTGACAACGCCATCTTTGGCGATTTTTAATTTTTATTTGGCTGAGCCAAATGACGTCAAAATTTATAGGCATGTACCTCACGTCATACAGAACTTACAAAAAACAATTCAGAAAAAAAAATATATTTTTAGGTCCCGGAATCATTTTTGTGGCGCATGCCGTGGGACCCCGAACGCCGGTACGTACGGAGGTCGGCCAGGGGACCTCCGTATGTACGGGTTGGTGACCCTGTATATCATACTTGTGGCGCATGCCGTGCGCGGCGTCGTGGCACGTGTGGAGCAGAGCGCAGAACGCAGCCGGCGCGCGCACGGCATGAGGCGCATCGGCCAAAACAGGGGTCGTGGAAAAGAAAAAAGTCTGGGGGGGAGGTGGGAGGCCCGGAGGGGTACAGGGGGAAATTGCATCCGTGGGCGCTAAATTTTTTTTTCGGGCCGCGCGGAGGCCCGATAGAAATTTTGGGGGGAGAATCTTCTGAGTAGTTTGTTTTCGAACTACTCAGACCTCCCCCACGCCGCCGTTGGGCACCCCAGCACTTCACCGAACCGCCAGTTGTGCCTTGTCTCCTTGGCGGCCGTCGTGTGGTCCGTTTTCGTCGTCGTTCGTCGTTGGTCGTGCCCGCCCGTCACCAGCAGCACCAGCCAGAGCAAGAAACAGGAGGCAGAAGGAAGCAGCAGCAGGCAGCAGCACACAGCAGGAGGAAGCTGGAGCAGGCAGTGGGAGCAAGGAAGAATGACCGAGCCGCTTGAGGTGGGTTGCCACCAGCTCTCTCTCTCTCTCTCTCTCTCTCTCTCTCTCTCTCTCTCTCTCTCTCTCTCTCTCTCTCTCTCTCTCTCTCTCTCTTCGCTCTTCCCTTCTCCTCCTGTTTCTGTCCTTCGAACACTTCACCATCCAATCACCTTTTTTTTTTTTTTTTTCCCCTTGTTACGTTAGCGACAGGGCCTTTCACTACACGCGGCACCTCCACCCCTCCCATCCTCCACGCGTCGACTAACTCGACTCGCTGCCCCCTCTTTCCTCCTTCCTTTCTCCCTCCTCCTTCCTCCCTTTCTCCCTCCTCCTCTCTCCCTTTCTCCCTCCTCCTCTCTCCCTTCTTCCTCGTCCATCTCTCCCTCCTCCTCTCTCCCTTCTTCCTCGTCCATCTCTCCCTCCTCCCCCTCCCTCCTCCTCTCCCCTCTTTTGTCGTCTATCTGTAACGCTCTCCGTCCTCACTTCTCCCTCCTCCACGCAGGACCTCACTTCTCCCTCCTCTTTCCCCCTCCCTTTCTCCCTCCACATTTCGCTACTCCCTCTTTCCTCCTCCCTTTCTCCCTCCTTCCTCCCTTCTTCTCCATCCATCTCCTCTCTTTCTCCCTCCTCCTTTCTCCCTTCTTCTTCATCCATCTGTCCCTCCTCCTTCCTCCCTCTCTCTCCATCCATCTGTCCTTCGAACACTTCACCATCCAATCACCTTTTTTTTTTTTTTGCCCTTGTTACTTTAGCAACAGGGCCTTTCACTCCGCGCGACACCTCCACCCCTCCCATCGTGCACGCGTCGACTGACTCGACTCACTGCCCCCTCTTTCCTCCTCTTCTCCCTCCCGCTTCCTCCCTTTCTCCCTCCTCCTCTCTCCCTTCTTCCTCGTCCATCTCTCCCTCCTCCTTCCTCCCTCCTCCTCTCCGCTCTTTCGTAGTCTATCTCTACCTCTCCTTCCTCCCTTTCTCCCTCCTTTCTGCCTCCTCATCCCTCCCTTTCTCCCTCCTCCGCGCAGCACCTCACTTCTCCCGCCTCTTTCATCCTCCCTTTCTCCCTCCACATGTCGACTCGCTACTCCCTCTTTCCTCCTCCCTTTCTTTCTCCCTCCTCCTTCCTTCTTCTTCGTCAATCTCACCCTCCTCCGTTTCTCCCTCCTTTCTCCCTTCTTCTTCATCCATCTGTCCCTCCTCCTTCCTCCCTCTCTCTCCATCCATCTCTCCTTCTTCTAGTTGCCATCTGTTCCAAATTACAAATCTCAATTTGGCATTTGCAGTTTTTTTCCCTACTCCTTTTGGAATGTTGTTTCCACAATTCGATTTGCTCGTCCTTTTTTTTTTTT